ACACACACACACACACACACACACTCAAACACACACACACACAAACACACTAGAAGAGCAATACCAATCTCCAGATTTGTTAATGGTTGAACTAAATATCATGAACTGCCATTTAAATAATTGATTGGTTGATGAAATAACAGATCGATGGGCTGATTGAATAACTGTCGACTGATTGATTGATTGATTGATTGATTGGTTGACGAGCCGGTTGGTTTATTCTTCGTAAATTTGCTGATGAGTTAGAATGCTGATTATTTCGTTGGTTTTATGCAATAATTGTTGAAGTGGTAAGCTAACGTACTGGGGTGTTGTTGTTTTTTACTGGCTGGCTGATTTGAGAACTGATCAAATGGCCGAGTGGGTGAAGAGACAGCTATTTTAATGTAAGATTAAGTTATTGGAGGTTTAGCTGAAACAGAATTGTTCTACAAGATGTGACGATAATTCACAAATTTTCATCTTATTCCATGGTAGGATTTATATTTTATTCTAATTAATAAATTGATTTATTGTTCATATACATGTATTTGATCTTATATCGTTAAGACCAGTTTTCTTGGCAAATTTTACGTCTAAAGAAACTTTCATTTGCTTTATAATTATATCATCCGTTACGGGAAGTTTTTCTTATTTGTCATATTTTGATAAATAGAACATTTTTAAACTTCACATTAATTCCTCATAATCCGTTATGGGAAGGTTTCGTTAAACTTGACATTGCTTTCTCATACTTTTTTTTATGGAAAGCTTTCTTTAATCTAAATATAACTTTCTAAAATTTTGTTCTTGGAAACTTTCGTTAACGTTCATATTACCTCATACTTTGACATGGCTGGGAAGCTTTCGTTTTACATGACATTACTTTTTCATACCTTCTTATGGGAAGCGTTTGTCAACATTCATATTGCCTCATACTTTGTTATGGAAAGCTTTCATTATACTTCATATTACTTTCTCATACTTTGTTATGAGAAACCTTCTAGTTTTAGCTTTAGTAAGAGTTTTACGGCACTTGTAACACAATAACGTCATATAAGTGACGAAGATTAGACGTGTTACTAGAAAGTAACAGACACAAAATGGAAGGAGGGGAGATAAATAAGATAGTATATATATTTTTTTTTTTATAGGAAAGAAGGAACAAACCACACCAGAGCACACACCAACCACCCACGGGAAACCTTCCTTATATTTCATAAAATTATTTCTTACTTTGTTATATTATTTAAAGACAAAAAAACAACATAACAAGCAAAAAAGAAACAAAAACACAAAAAAACTGACAAACTTCGTTAATCTTGACATGACGTCCCTCAATCCACCGATCTGCTCCCCACAGGGAACCACCCCGTATGACCTCAAGGAAAGCGCCGAGGCCTGGCGCACACTCGCCGCATCCCAGCCGGGCTTCCCTTACGATCCCATGGCCATGTACCCTTACGGACCAGGGTGAGTGTCTGTCTGTATACATATCCCTCTGCTCTGCTCTCCTCTCTCCTTCCGTCTTCCCCTCTCTCTCTTCCCCTCTCTCTCTCTCTCTCTCTCTCTCTCTCTCTCTCTCTCTCTCTCTCTCTCTCTCTCTCTCTGCTCTGCTTTCCTCTCTCCTCCCGTCTCCCCCCTCTCTCGCGCTCTCTCTCTCTCTCTCTCTCTCTCTCTCTCTCTCTCTCTCTCTCTCTCTCTCTCTCTCTCTCTCTCTCTCTCTCTCTCTCTCTATCTCTCTCTCTCTCTCTCTCTCTCTGTGTCTCTTTCTCATTCGTCTTTGTAAATTGATTTGTTATAGATCTGAAGCTTTTCGTTCTCTTCTTCAACACATCATATTATAATATCATTTAGGAGGCAGGTTTCTTCAGGCCCGACTCAGGACGAATGGAATACAGTATCTTATTGGACAGACATTTTGACTAGATCTCGATAATATAACTTCTCTATACTATGGGAACCGAACTCGCGATGGAGTGTTATTGATGCGAAACTTAAATCGCGGAGAATGTTCTTTCAAGTCAATTTTAAGAAAGTAACGACATCTAATATTCCAAGCCACCATTCATTCAGGTTTCAGTTTTCTCACATCTCTATTTCTTCACTGTTTTACTCACTCATGCTATTCCCCCCTTTCTCACTCAATTCCCTTTTTTTCCTTTGATTTTTTCCCCTCAAGAAAAAAGAAGACCAAAAAAAAAAACAAAAAAAAAAAAAGAAAACAAGACAAAAGTCTGTCTACTCGAACACACTGTTGTTTTAGACAGAAGGGCTTTTAAACTTTGAACTAGCTGACTCACAAAGCACTCAGATAGATATCCGGCTCTCTCACCTTCCAACGATGAAAGAGCAAAACAAAAAAGATTCCAGCGCCTCTCTCAATGGGTCTATTGTACTGTGTTTGTTTTATCAGGAAGAACGCGACTCGCGAGAACACCAACACTCTGAAGGCGTGGCTGTATGAACATCGGAAAAACCCGTACCCGACCAAGGGAGAGAAGATTATGCTGGCTATCATCACCAAGATGACGCTCACTCAGGTTTGTGGGGGAATTTGTGTTTCTGTGTGGGTTTGTGTTGTGTGTGTGTGGAGGGGGGTGTTCTTTTGGGTATGGTGTGTGGTTAGGGTGGGGTTGTGTGGGGGGTTTTGTGTGTATGTGTGTGTGTGTGTTGTAATGAGAGAAAGAAAGAAAGAAAGAAAGAAGGAAAGAAAGAAAGAAAGAAAGAAAGAAAGAAAGAAAGAAAGAAAGAAAGAAAGAAAGAGAAAGAGAGAGTGTATTTGTGCAACAACAAGAAAAAAATACACGCTTTGAGCGAAACTCTCACTGTTTTGAGTAATTGAAATTTATTTTTAAAAAACAAAACCTTCCCATAATCCCGCCAACAGGTGTCGACCTGGTTCGCCAACGCCAGGAGACGGCTCAAGAAGGAGAACAAGATGACATGGTCACCTCGCAACAGGAGCGAGGACGGCAGTGATGACGTAGACAATCCCGAGGACGATGACGACTGTGGAGAGAGCAGGGCTCATGACGTCATGTCGCCCAATCATGAACTGGACATCACGTCATCCAAGCCATCGTCACCTCTCTTATCTCCAGGTAAGGAGAGTTACTGTATCGTCATATTGTTATAATGTTAAAGGGTTTCTATCTTCATCAATATTCTATTATTTCAAATGTTGTCTTAATATTTGACGTCTGAGTTTGTGAGTAGGTGGTTAGTGAGTGAACCAGTGTGGTATTCTCCTTCTTTCCTATTAAAGAGATAACGTCCGCACCTCTCCTCCTTCTTTTCTTTGTATGTTACTCTTTACTAGTAACACCTCTAATCTTCGGTACCTAAAGGATCGAATTGTGTTGTGGGTGTCGTAAAACTCTTACTAAAATTAAAGTTAAGAGTTTGTAAATTTTAAACGCAAAAGCAGACAAAATCATTTTTCATTTTCATTGTCCTCGTAGCTGGAATGTCATTTCACAACAAAACGCGAATCCCCATGTAGTTCGTTGCCAACATAACCCGCAACAAACGGGAACTTTCAACACCCACAAAACGCAGGTAGACCTCTTAGAATTCAACGATGTTGTTATATATACCATGTCATTTAGAGCAATCAAACCTGCTCTAATGTCCAATGCAATCAGCTGAACCACTTCCCACGCCCCCTCCTCCACCTATATTGTTTTCTATTAATTTTAATGATATTATAATAATGACTCTGTCTGGGAGGACTACCTATCTAAGATGGCAATTTTTCTCCTCGGCAATGGGTGGCCGTCTTGGACAGGTTCAATTGTATAAACCATAAATTCCGAGACATCATTTCGATTATTATGGTGCTCTATCACATTGCACTGTTAGTGTTTTAGTTTTGGTATTGAATGTTGTTCTCGTTCTCGTAAATGTGTCTGTTTGAATTTGCAAGAACTATGTTTGTCTCGATATTTAGTTAAATTTTAATGCCACCCGAATCTCATTATGTTGAATACTCAACGTGCACTAGCTGGACCTGTATGTTCAGAACTGAATACGAGTATCAAAGTAGCTGGCTTTCAGCATCCCCCCCCCCCCCCCCGGCTACCACTGTTTTTCCCTTTAGAGACAACGTAGCGATACAATGAAACAATGAGGTTGAGGGATCGATGACGGACAAAAGCATACCATAACAAAAATTAACAGCGTGGAAGCGAGATATGATAAGGAGAAGAAAGGGCATTTATGCTTCCAATTTCCATATTCGAATAAATGCTCAATGTCCATTACAACAGTCAAAGAGATATCACATTTATATAAAATAATAGACAGCGGTATACGTAGAGCTCAATACCGTGTATAAATTATATAAACATTGTTAGTTGTAAAGAAGTGCACTTCATGGCAACAAAGATGAAGAAGAAGAAGAAGAAGAAGAAGAAGAAGAAGAAGAAGAAGAAGAAGAAGAAAAACAAGAACAAGAACAAGAACAAGAACAAGAACAAGAACAAGAACAAGAACAAGAAGACTTTGAATGAATATAATATACCGGAGTGAGAACACAATCGCTGTGTATGAGGTAAGAAGAAGCCAATAGACGCGTTTGTAGCGAAATGTTGACTTTAATCAAACACGTATCACATTGCACCCCGGATCTCTGTGAACCCAAGTTGATATATAATGTATAGAAGTAGGGTTTTTCTTCTTGGCTATCAGTTTCTCGGGTGTTGTTTCTACCCCAAAGTAAGATCCATTGCTGTGTAGATTACAGAGTCTTCAGTCAGCGACCTCTGATGTCCAGCAGGGGAGTGAAAAAGTGAAGAAGAAGAACAGAAAGTAAGAGGGTATGGCTAAATAATTGAGACAATCAGCTCGTGTCGGGTGATGTTTCTACCTCTAGCAAGTAATATAAGACAATAAAAAGACTTTTACGTTGAGCGTTCTGTAACACCCCGGCAAACGTCTCCGAATTGTTGTCGTGGGGCTGCACAGGGGATGAAACCTGCCCGACATGAGAACCGCCAAATCTCAACGTTCCCAGAATGAATAATTTACCGGCCTTCCCCGGCCACCTTTCGCTCCTCAACTGGGTCGGCCGTCAACACGTCACAGTCCATCCCGGCCTGGTTTGACCACAGAGGGACTCAGGTGTCCGAACGGACACCCCTGGCAGAAGCTCAGTCGCCGCGCGCTCCACAGATACAATTATTGTGTCGTGATGGGGCAGGGTCGGCACACCTTTCTGATCCGGCCCACGCACCTGCATGACGTAACAGCGGTCAGTTCTGGCGTCACCCGGCCTCTTATTTACGATGTTCAGAGAGGACTTCATCTCATCAGACTTTCTCATCTGGCCACGGTCCAAGGCGGAAATGAGCTAAAATAGTGATGAGATTGCCGCCTTGGAGGGATCAGATTTCTGACATCGAGTCTCGGCCGTGTCATCTTCTCTAAGTCTCTCCCTTGCTGTCTCATGCGTACGACATTTTTGACCTGTAGTAAGCAGACACCGACACATTTATTTGAACCCGTTAGAGTTCGTTTGATAAATTTTTGAAAACTGAGGTGCAGAAAAACAAACCACAACTGCTTTGCATAAACTGGCTTTTGTCTTAACTTCTTTTTAAACTGTAGAATCATTCAAGAATACGTTATGTGTTAATATCTTTCTCCTTGTTTTCTTCATTTTTACTTTTACTGTTGTTGTTTGTTTTTGTTGTGTGTTTTTTTTTTGGGGGGGGGGTGAAAAAGTGACCCTTGCTATGTCTAGTTCAGTGATAAAACCAAAGAATTGAGAAATCTTCCTCTCACACTATTCAGGCTGTTTATCTAACGCCTCTCGGACCAGATCGGCTTGTTTTTGTTTGGGTGTTGTTGTTGTTTTTTTTTGGGGGGTAGGAGGAATAATTAGATGGCCCACCACGCCTAACAAGCAAATTAAATGTCCACCTACGCTCTCAGAATTTCTTATTTCATAGCGATCACACCAAAAACGGCTATAATATACGCTGTGACAAACACGGGTTGTCCCCCATGATGTAGTAGTTATTAGTGGCGAACAACGACGCGTCTTGTGGGTTTCTTTTTTTTTTGTTCCGGTCAAAATGATTACTTGGCGTTTTATGCATTCGCCAGCCCCCGGATAATACAGACACGCCGTTAGCCGGAGACCGGCCGTGGGTGTTTCCTTGTTTACAAGGATAATGGCTAACGTACAAGCCGGCGATAATGTTACCTTAGGAGAACATTATACGCATAGACAAGATAGTATGTGATTAGGTCTGCTTTAGATTTTATATATTATATTATGTATTCATTTATCTGCTTATTTTTGCTTGCTATGTTCTAAAGAAGATGATACAGGAAGAAGCTATTGGAATTAAAACAGGGAGGATGTGAATCCCGCATCCTATTGTGTTGTTTATATATACATTGTCACGTAAGGGGTGGGGTGCGCATGTTATTAGTCTTGCATGTCGTCTGTTTGTCTGAGCAAACACGTGTCATAACGGTTTACAAATAAAGCGATGGGATTTTACACTATCGATAGATACGCAGTTTTTGATGGGTAACGTATGAACGTTGACGTTTAGAACAGCGAGAGAAAGAGGGTATCAAATTGGCAACCTGTCCGTAGTTTTCTAGTTTTCGTTTTGTACATAGTACTTTTGGCTGTGTGAATGAGCTGGTTGGGTGGGGCACTTGTGTGTGTGTGTGTGTGTGTGTGTGTGTGTGTGTGTGTGTGTGTGTGTGTGTGTGTGTGTGTGTGTGTGTGTGTGTTCGCGCGTTACAAGTTAACATTTCATTGTCACCCGAATCTGGCTTCTCTATTCACGGTTGCGTTCAAATTCACCTGCACCCCCCTCCTCCCTCCCTCTGTCCTTTTTTGCCACCTTTCCACGATCCAAAAAGTATCATCACTCCCTTTCTTGTTTGCCCTTTTCTTATTTGGGTGTGTTTGAAGTTGGTTAGAACACATAACTGAAGAACGAACATCTACCGCAAAGTCGCACCGAGCCTTGTATGCAATGAAAAGTGGCCACTCGAACAGAACGTTGTACTTTTGAGCGCCGGCAGAAAACGGAGAAAGCTCAGAGTGTAGCGGAGTCTGTCCGTGATAAAGGACGGCCAGTGACCCGTGACTCGCCCGGGCCTTGACTGGATCACCTCGAGGTGTGAACACATGGCAACCTCGACGATGTTGCGGCCCGTTTCTCTGGAGGCGACACATTACTCATTGAGCTCTGGGCGGCAGGCTAAAGGACCCGAGGCTCCCACGTGCATTATTGATGTCAGAAGAAGAAAACTTGAGGAGAGACCTTTCAGTTCACTTCTTGAAGGATACTTACTCACTCCAGATTTCTTTTGTCAAGCCCCCCCCC